GATTCTCAAGCGGAAAATCGTGTCTACACCTCTGTTGCGTCACCCCGCCCGGAACAACCCGTTCGTGGTCATCCCACATGCGAATCGCTGAATGGCATGCGCCATCCTAGGACAAGCGTACAATGAAAAAATCCTACCCGTACGATTCACAGGCCGGGTGCTGAATGAGACTGAGATTAGGTAACACGAGGCCGAGAAGGACGTGATTGCGATCATGCGAGTACTGGACGTATTCGCGAATCTCGTCCGGGGATGTCAAATCAATATCTACATGCGGTATTCTGTCCTGTCCTGGCTGTTAAAGTCCAAGAGCGCCGACGGGCGATGTGTCTGATGGGGAGTGATTTTGTCCCATTGGGATTTGGAAGTTCACAAGGTTCAGAGCGACGTCGATGGGTTGGCCGCTATTATGGGAGCAGGCATCACCCCATGTGAACACTTGGATGAATTAGCCGAATCCCTGATACCGCTCAAGGGACGAGTGAAACTCCAACCGGTTATCAGCGTGGAGATATTGGAGGCGGACTTCGACGGTTACGTGCTGAGTTTCGATGGTGCCACCAAGACGTCTACCGTCAGAGCAGTTGTGGATGTGTCATCTGGAAACTCCCCGGTTGGAAGGTAGTGACGGCCCAAGGTTTTGTACTTGAAGACGTCACCGTCAACGACGCAGAGTACCATAGTTTGCTCAAGGGTTTGATCATGGTAGCCGAGCGGGACATCCTAGATGTGGTTGTTGTCGGAGACTCACGTATCGTGATACAACAAGTGCAAGGGCTGATAAACTGTAATCAGCCCAACCTGCAACGGAGACTAGCTGAATACGGTGTCCTACGAGAGAAATTCAAGTCGGTCAGGCTGGTGCATGTCAAGAGAGAATACAACCAGGTGGCAGACTAAGTCACCTCGAAGACATTGGCACTTGGAGAGTCCTGGCCCGTGACCGATCCGACCGTGATTACACTCTTGGAGTGTCTGCCTTCGATTCCTGAGAAGCTGATGAAGCCAGTAGTCGTTCTAGATCCAGTTCTAGATCCAGATGCGAATGACGATCCCACTCGAGAGACACCACCCGGTGAACCTGTGAAGATCCAACCAGGATCCGAGTCCGCGCCTTTGCCAACCCAAGCATAGTTATAGCGGCCGTGACCCGGAGTCATGCTCGCGAAAACTCCAGTCCGAGCGACCCGATGGGACCATTGGAGTATCAAGCTGAAAGGTGGAGACGAAGCAAGGTGTATCAAGATGAGGACCACCAGCTGCTGAATCTCAAGAAATTATTGCGGGGGGAGGTGGACAGTTTCTCTCGCGCGCAGATACGTCGTCTTTCGAAGGAAGCTGACTTGTTCGTGTTGGACAGTCGAGATGTATTGTTCCGTTTGAACTATCTCGCCCTGGGGCGGCCGAGAGACCAGACAGACATGTTACGACTGGCAGTTCCGGAGACACTCCGCCAGGACATACTGTACAATGCTCATGAGGACTTCCAAGGGGATCACCAGGGCATAACGCGTACCCATGAGAAACTCCAGTCGGACTTCTACTGGTATGGAATGTACGCGGATGTGGAAACGTTCATCAAGGAGTGTGTATTGTGCCAGTGGAAAGGGGCGTCCCCCAACCAGGGACCCTCGCTGGAAATATCGAGCCGACCCGCCCATTCGAGATTGTCTCTATGGATTTTGTCACGCACTTGCCGGAGTCCGCCCGGGGCAACGCGTTCCTGTTGCTTTTTCAGGTTATGTTCTCCAGTTACGTCATGTGCAAGCCGATGAGCCCAACCACTGCACAAGAATTGGCTGAGGCATATGAAGAACGTGTCTTCCAGAGGTTTGGGGCGAGTTCTATGATTCGCCACGACCAAGATCCAATATTTGTGGGCGAAATGTTCAGGTGTTTCAGGGAATTGCTGGGAAGCAAGCAACGAGCTACTCTAGGCTACAGACCCCAAGCGAACGGCCAACAGGAACGATCAGTCCAGACGGTGATTCGAAATGTGCGTGCGTATGTGGCTGAGGCAGATCAGTCCGATTGGGACGATCATGCCGAACGCCTGATGTTCGCATTGAACACTTCTCTTGACGCAACCCGCCTGGACATACTCCTCCGACCCTGGATCACCATATTGCCCTGACCAGGGATCGCCTTTACCTGGGATATCTTGATCGGTAG